CTGCTCTGGTTTGTTTACTTAGCAAATATTTATTAAGAACCTTTTGTGTGTTTGGCACAATGCTAGGGGCTGGAGGTACAATGAGAAGCAAAATAAGCTGCTGTGTGGCTTAGAAGCTTATTTCAATCACATGGCTGAGGCCACTTGTTCATCCAGGGCCACAGATGAGCTGGAATCTGCACAGCCTGCTCCAGCCCTGCACTGCATGACCCTATGTCCTCCTTTACATGATGGCACTGCTGACACCTCCAGTTCCCCCTCACCCCCAAGTTCTCTTTTCTAGATTGGACACTCCATCCTTAGAAGAGGAGGCTGGTGGAGGACACTCCAGTGCCACTGACCGGAAGAAAGAAGTCTCCGTGGTTCCTGGACCATAGAGGCTCAACTACACCATCAGGCCGGGTGCTCTTCATTCTGAAAGGCTGGGGAGAGCCAAGGCTGAAGGAAGCAGAACGTCTCACTGTCGGGGAGGGGTGGGGGTCATGCCCATAAGTGGGCCAGTTTTGCTTCTGAGAGGCAGGACTTTCTGCCCGAGGCAATTGGGAGAAGCCGGGACTCTGCCGGGTGCTCTGGGTCACAACCTGAGATTCACATGCATTCAGGAGGCTCTGAGCCACCCCCATGCCACTATCTCCTGCTTTCTTTCCTCCTTCAAGGCTACTTTGGTGCTCATGTTTTATAACAGCTTTATTGAGATATAATTCACACACCAGACAGTTCACTCCTTTATGTTCAGTTTTTCTCTGCTATCGCCCAGATTAATCTCAGGGAAAACAAGGAGTGGGGGAATGTAATTTATTTTGCATACTGTATCTCACCCCCTTGCTTCCTAGACACAGCCTGGCAGCCATGGCTTTGACATCGGAAAGGCAGGGGAGACCATCGCAAGCTCCTGGTTTAAAGACACAGAAAGCTCCCTGGCAGAGAGAGCAGAAGTCTCTGTAGCCCCACACTGGTCTTTGCTGCTGTGCTTACATGATATGGGCTACAAGGGGAGGTGACAGCCTGGAGACCACCCCGGGAAACAGCTCCCAGCACTGAGGAGCTAGAAGCATTACTGTGGGGTCACTCCTGAGCTCCCTTCCAAACATGCCTGGAGTTCCTCCAGTGACCCCTACCACCTGAGGTTCTGATCCCATAGGTCTCCAGGGAGGCCCAGGCATCTTTGCAGAAATAAAGCTCCTGCTGATTATGATAATAATCATAATTATATGCTGATCCCAATGTTCATTACTGTGAAATACAGTGTTACTAAGACAGAGATCCTCAAACTTGAGGGTGCATCCCAGTCCCCTGGAGGGATGTTGCTGTGTCCCACCTCCAGCATCTCTGATTCTGTAGGCTGGGGTATGGCCTGACTATGAATTTCTAACCAGTTCCCAGATTCTAGGTGAGGGACCACACTTTGAGAACCACTGTGCTAAAAAGAGAAGCATGCTTCTCCAGAAATCACCCAAACCTGAGAAAGCAGGAGCTCACCCTCCTAATGCTCCCCCCTGATTCATCGCCTCATTAGTGAGAACCCCCCACCCCCACCCCTGCTGCCCAGGCTGTCTCCAGGGCAATGAAATCTGAGTGTCTGTGGCAGGGCCAAGACTTTGTATTTTTTTAAAGCTCCCCAGGCAATTCCCATGTGCAACCAGGCTTGTGAACCACTGCCCTGAAGAGGTTTTTGGAGCTCCGCTGACTTCAAACTATCCTGAGAGCACAGAAGAAAGATGGCAAGAGAGTGGGGGACACAGGCTATGAGAGCCCCCCAGGGTGTAGCCAGGATACCATCTTAGCACAGCCTAGGAGCTCTTCTGCAGTGAGGCAGCTGTATCTCCCTCCCTTATCCTAGGAAATTCAGATGTGAGAGCAGGGTCCTGGCCAGCTCTGAGCACAGCTGCAGGACTACCAAGCCGGAAGAACCTCTGGCCACACATGGGCCTAAGCTTGGGAACTGGAGCATGGCTCCACGTGTACTGCCCCAGGACCTGGGGGTACTTAGTGGAATAGGCTGGAGCACAGCTGCTTCCTCTCTCAGCCTGCTGCTGGTGATTGGGTTGAAATAAAACTAGAGTGTGTAAGATAGGCGTGGAAACATGGCCTCAGGTCCTTTGTCAGCCCAGGCACCAATCTTTTGCCAGTCAAGGCCAAGCTACTTGCTACATATAGACATTCCAGAATTGGCAGAAGATGGGCACAGCTTTCTAATGGTACACATGGCTAGGCCATAGACAAACATTTATTTGAAAGAAAAGCATTTGAAATTAATTCACATACCACCAAAATTATGGAAAAGTCCCAATAGGATTCAAAGGTATGTTCATATCTTCAGGGAAAGCTTTGTTTTACCTTGGGTATTATCTGGTTTGGGCTCACACCGGGCATGAGTTTTCAAGCTTCATTATTTCTGTGGTCAGAGGTCAGAGACATTGAATTCTGGAATCAGTCTCCTGGTGGGCCTTTTGTCCTGCAGGACACCTCCTGCTGGGGTAAGGACTCCAGGAGAATGAATATTCATGACTAAATATTCTTTTATAATAAAAAATAAAATTCTTAAAACTCAGATCAAAGAGGATAAAATCTCAATCATTATCTCCCTGGAATTTGCCACAGGCCCCCTTTACACAAAGAGAAAAACATGTGCTTTATGCAAAGAACACTCTATTTTAAGAATTTTTAAACAATAACAAATGCTTAGTGATTTTACCCCACAAGTTTCCCCTGAGAAGGTGTGTAAAATGCCGCATTTCACAACAGGTCTCCTGGGAGACTGGGAGATTCTACCCAAATTTTTGGCTTTAGTACGAGATATTTGGGAAGATCTGTGATAATGTTTTAGAAAAGGGAAGAAAATATGAAATAAGTTTGTGGTGCTTGGAGATAGGAGGCCAACATTCTGGGCCAAATTCAGACAGGATCTCAGCTAGTGTCCTTAATCAAGTCACTTAATTTTTTGGTGTCCTTTGTTTCTTTATTGATATAAGGGAATGGGTGTCTTTTTCTATGACTGAGAAGCTCAAATAGCATTATAAGCTCTGAAACTTCAGTGGAAGTTATGCAATGCTTGAATGCTAATGCTGGGAAAGGTTTGGCAAATGGAATCCCAAAAGGATGACACCATTAGCTTGCATGTCTGCAAAGTTTTCTTAATTATAATGTCTGCTCCCAGCCAGAAGATGCTTCCTGCTTCTCACCATATGCTCTGTAGTCAGCTTATTTCCCCTTCTGTCAATCACTCCCCTCCAAAGCCCCACCACACAACCAGATCCTGGCTGCTTTCTCCGGGTTGCTTCTTGGAAGAGGGGGATGTGGGACTGTTAGCCCAACAGATAGATCCAGTTGCCCTTCAGGGTCACAGGAATGAATTTCGTGACCCATTTGCAAATCATACCACAGGTAATGAACCAAATGTCTTCTCAAAAGAAAAAAAAACTTTTATTATTTTTCTATTGCATAAATAATGGTAAATTAGACTCTTTTTTTATACAGATTATATATTTACAGACAAATTTGGTTAGAGAAAGCATCTGGTAAATATGGCAGTCAGTGTTCCTTTATACACTTAGATAACATATTAATAATATATACTTCATTGGATCAGTAAGTTGCATGCCAAGTTAATTTATATTCATATTTACATTTTATATAAAGATTTTCTTTTGACTAGTCTGTTGACTCTCTCATCTTTTAATGGTGGAAATCATCAACTAATACTGAATGAAAAAAGAAAAGGAATGTGAATGAGGTAAATGGGAAGATTGTGACCCAGTATTTGAGACCTAGTGGAACGTTCTGGATATGAGCATTGCCAAGCTCCAGTCAGCCTGGTCGTCAGAGTCCGTAGCTGTGCTCCGATCTGCATCCAGCCATTTCCTGTTGTGGTCTAAGAAACCACTCACATCTCAAGTCTAGTGACCTCTACATCCCCAACAGATGACAGTTTGCCAACCCACTGCCTTACCAGACTTTCTGAGTCTGATTTCCCTCCAAGGGCATTGTCCTTGGTTAGTCCTTGGAGAAATAGCTGCTTTCTGGATTCAGAATTGGGGAAGAAAATCAAACCCCACTAAAAAGCCACTCAAGGAACCCTGAAACCTAATTTCCAGGTCAGAAAGCAAGAATATATTTTTATTTTTCTTGGAGAGAACTGAGAGACACTGGCTTATATAAATTTCCACCAGGAGCAGGGAGGGCCCTTTCCTGGCCAATCTAGGTCTTTCCAGGGAAGAACAGCAGGGTTGCATAAAAACAATGACTGGGACCTCAGTCTACTCCTGGAAGAGAGAAAAGGACAGAAGCCTAGGGTTTTACAGTGTTGTGGGGCAGAAGGTCCAGAGACTTTTGTGGATCCTGCAGCCAATCTCCCCTCTCTGCCCCATCATGGCTGGTGGCATCTGAAACAGCACCTGTGTTCGGCATCACACATCAGCCATCTAAAGGATGATTGCAGGTGGCTGGGCTCCTAGGACTGCTAATCTAATTCCTGACAGTCACCAGAAAGCGTGACTCTCTGCCTTTTGCAGTGTTACAAATAATTACAGATGACTACCACCTATGCCAGAACTGCTGTTCCAGTGGCCAGGTAGAAAGGAAGGAATGAAATGACTGTAAGTTGTGCTCTTTATTCAGTGGCTTCCAGCTAGGCTTTCTCAGATGGAGAAACAAGCATCTCTTCCTGGAATGTGGCCTTGTTTCACTCTACTTTTTCATGTACTCTGATTCACCCAAGCTGTGGCAAGGTGATCGAATCCCCTTAATTTTCACACTGGCTAAGACTAGGACACAAAGCCTATCTTTGATGCTTCCTTGGATCAACAAGACCTTAGGGAGGAAACGAAACTCTTCCCTGCAAGATATACTTGATGTACACTAATTTGCATTGTTTCATCTTTAGACAGTAGACACCCAAAGAGTTACTTCATTACAACTGCCTCTGGGAACCTATGTTAAAAAAGAAACTGCCAGTCCCTCATGCAATCACGGGGGAAAGAAGGATGCTTTATATTGAGGGCTTTCCTGGGTCAGCTGGTTTACCTTTCCTGTTGCTTTACAGATGAAACACCTGAGGCCAGGAAATGAAGTCACTCAAAATCATCTGGCTGCAGGCAGGGGTGGTAGAGGCACTGAAGGTCCTGCTTCCTGCACCCATCCCAGCTGACAGTGATGCCCACAAAGCTGGTTCTGAGATTTGCTCTCCTGGCCTCCATTTGGGAAGTCTGAGGGCCCTGGGAGAGGCATTTTGGGCTTGACTGATGTCAACATCCCCCAAGGAAAGGTGAGCTACCAGTCTTCTCTTGAAGTTCACCAAGCCTGTCACTGGGAGTAGGTTGATAGGCAGCAGCCCTCTGGCTCTCAGTCCCCTGTATGTTACCAAAGTAGGCCAGATATACAGGGAAAATATTCAGAGACCAGCCTCTGCAGTCCTTTAAATAACCTTTTCTCTCTCAGGTCCAAGGATGGAGAACTCTCACTCTTGAATTTTGTGTTATCTGGAATACTCCTTCCTAATTAGCCTGTTCCTCTATTCCACTGGAAAATTCCAGATTCTACATCCCTTTCATTTGGACAATAACTTCTAACAGTGAGGGAAGCACTGGCTTGAAAGCCAACCCTTTTGCTGAAGGGAACAAGGTGCATGAGGGCTCTGCCCAGCATGGGTGCTCAGCTGATGAGTTACCCAAGGTAGGGACAGGGGCAGAAGGTTTGGCAAGTCTTTTCTAGTTTCAGAGGACTTTCTAATCTTTGTGGGACTGGCAAAACCTGATTCTTTGTGGCCATCGAACAATCAAATTAATTTTGCCACATAGACTTTTCGAGCATTGTTATCATGTCCCCTGAGACCATACAAAGAGGGTCACAAACCAATATTAAGTAGAAACTGTAGCTGTTAAACTGAGCATGTGTTTTAGCAATGAGCACAGGATACTGAGAAATGCTTGGCTGATCTGTGTACTTGACCTTATTTCTCCAAACCAAGTGTCTTTGGCAAGGCTATGCTGCTGAGGACAGTCCCCTGAGCGACTTAGTCAAAGGAAGTATGAAGTGAAGCTGAACAGTTCTGACATTTAAATCGTCATGGAGACAGGGTCTATGACAGGCAGCCCAAATCTTTCTCTATTTTACCATCACTTTAAATAATGCAAATTGAAAACCCTAGCTGCTGAATGATGTTTCTTTTCTACTTCTGATAGATATTCTTTTTTCCCTTTCTGAGGAAGTTGAACAGTGAGGTGGTAAGGGAGGATGGCTATGGCAAGGCCTTAAGGTTATAGACTCTCAGTCCTGTGAGGATTACTGAAGAGTCCAATGAGAAAGTTCTGATCTGAGGTCATTACAGGCAGATGCTCTCCAGGCAGTCCTGGGAATACAACTAGTATGTGCCAAAGCCTAAAAGCTTAGACTTTGCATCATCTAAATACCATTTGAGTACTCATGGGAAAACAGGGCCCCCTTGCAAGGGGGTTCCAGATCCTCCCCATATCTCAGTGGAGCGGGGTGAAAAACACCATCATTATGAACCTTTGGAGAAATAGTCAGTGCAATCAAATGACCCAATATGACTTGAGACCTTCAGCTGGGAGGAGAAGAGCTCAGCAGCTTCTGTGGGGATGGAGAGCAAGGGTACAGTGGAACAAGGTATCATCACCTGCAGCCACACATGGCCAGACTAGCCACCCCCAGCCTTACTCTTCCAGTCATGCCATCGTATGGGCCCAGGGATGCTGCCAGACATGGATTAAGAGTATCTCTGTTTGATTTATGACCTGAGTCTGGACCTAAGCCTAGAGAAGGCATTTGGAATAAGAGATAAATTTCTCTCTCCTAGTTCTTAGATAATACATTGCTTTATGATTCTGTGGATGGGAGGCCAGGAGGGCATTACTGTCAAAACAAGCTGGCCATCTCTCATTTATCTATCTGCAAGATAGTAGACCATTTGTCATGTGAAATTTAAGACAGGAGTGGGTATCAAGAAAGAAGACTCAAAGTGTACATCTTGTCCACTGCAAATAAAACACCTAGAAACTTCTGAAACCACTGGGCTTGCCTAAGACCACATGTAAACTTCAGTTTACTTCAGTTCACATTTCTGGCTTGTGGGAGAGCCTCTCAACAGGCAAACAGATGTTTTTGCCTTCCAGATGACATTTCCGCCTTATTGCCCAGATTAAGGGGTACTTGCTCTAGGCACTAGGAGATGAGGGAGGAGGTGGAGTGGGAAATCCAGCTCACAGGTAGCTCCTGTTCTCCTGAGCAAATGGAAGGACAGGTTCAAACACAAGAGGGAAAGGCAGAGAAATCACCAGATTTTTTCGAGGGTAGTTTCCACCACCAGCAGGATACGGATGCAGGGAGTCAGGTTGCAATAAGGCAGAACCCAAGTGTTCTTGAAGAAAATGTTTCCTATTTTTGTGTGCCTTGGCAAACTCACGGTGGAATTCAAGGGTTGCCATGGCAACATCCTTTTTTACTGATTGGTCACATGGGACCCACGCACATTCTGGAAGCCACTGATAATAGTTCCCATGCTGGGTCCTGTTTGGGGGCTCTGTCTGCTTCTGGAGTGATGGGAGGCAGCTTCTTTGGGGGCCAAGGAGATTGGGGACTGGATCCCTTGTCTCCCAAGCAAAATGCCTTCCTGATTGTAACTGATGCTGGGGGGCACCTGTTTTTGCCACAAGAATGGTTTGCCACAAGAACCAAGTGTGGTTTGCCAGCAGTCATTCAGCTACCCCAAAACAGACTTCCATGTCTATCATCCAGGAGGACAGAGTGAGAGATGGGCTCCTCTCCTGTGGTTTCTGCAGAGACCACCTCTATCCAGGGCTACAGAGCATATCTTGGGCATGGGGAACCAAGACTTCTGGAATTTTCATCTCTGAGCATCATAACCTCTGTGGGCAAGGGTGCTACCTGGTGTGGGGCCCCAGAGAAGCACAGATGTGGATGGGACTTGGGGTGGGGCTGCCGGAAGCCAGCATCTTAAGTGTTTCAGAGAAGCCCAACACCTTTGACAGATTGTCTCAGCAGAACAGCCAGAGGACAAGCCAGAGAGACAGCTGTTTAGCTCCCAAGGTATCAGTAATGCCACAAGCCCTTGTTGTCTCCACACAGCTCAGACCCTGGGTGCCAGGTGCACCCACCATGGTGGGACATTAACTTCTGACCCATCAGAGAGAGTTCTGTGGCTTCCTTATGGCCCTCTCTCCCTAGCAGCACCCACAAGTGATACTCTCCTAGATTTCCTCCTGGCCAGAACAGGCTGGCTTCTGGTCATTGGGAGAGGAAAGGGGTCCTCTGTAGGGAAAAACTGCTGAGGCCTTGTGGGGAACAGGCTATTCCCAGAACCCCTTTTAATCTCCACCCCTGCCCAGTGTGAGTTTCTCTCCCAGTGAAGTCTAGACCTCATACACTTCCAGGTCCCATTCTCCAGTGGGAAGCCCAAAAACTTGCAGAAAAGCAGCCTCTGAGGAAGTACTCAGTTTATGCCCCACAGCCCTGCCCCACTTGCAGTGCCCCAGTCTGTTCCATGGGGCAGGGTCCTTGAGGAGTCATCCCTGGAGGCTTTCTTCAGTATTAGGGTCTTGCACCTTTCCCCAGGAAGACATGTTCTTACTAGTTCAGGAAGTCGCTCCCACCCAAGTACAGATGAGAGAGGGAGGGCAAAGTGCTTTGGGGGGAAACTAACGATGACCTTGCTCTATGTGTTCCTGTTCTGCATTTGAATCTGTTCTCATTTAGAGTTCCAATCCTGAGGGACCAGGGTGAGTCAGGCAAGGGAAGAGAGAAGAGAGACAGACATGCAGTCTGGACTGTGGCAGGGTGGGTGGACAAGAGGGACAGGCAAGCTGCTGCCTTCCTTGGCTTAGATGTGTGGGACCCCTGGCAGAGGGGCTCTCCACACCCCTGGCTCTCGGGAGCTTACACCTGCTCCCTCCTCTGTACTATGGCTCAAACCCTAGTTTGACTTGTGCTCATCAGGAATATGTGCAGTCCCCCACAGTGGGGAAGTGTCTCCAATTGCCCCCAGACTATTGCCCAAAGTGCTTGCAGAGGTGAATTGGAAGAAGACCCTAACTGAGACTTGGATGCTCCAAGTCCAAGAAGGCGGCAGGGAGAAAGCCCACGAGGGTGGGAGGCTTGAGGAGGGGTTCAGGGACACACACCATGCTGCACGCCGCATGCCTTCCCAGCTGCAGGCAGAAAGGAAAGATTCTGGCTCCTTAATACTGGAAGAAAGGGGGAAAGGGAGAGAAGAAAAAAATGTAGCTTTAAGAAGCAATCGAAAGAATGAGGAGCAAGACAATTCCACTACAGAAATAAAGACCTGAGCTTGGAAAAGTACAGAGGGAACTATTACACTGAAAGATTATTGGCTAGTCAGACTATGCAAGCTTGAATTACTAGTGGTAGCCAATGTGGCATCTAGGAAAAAGTCAGGAATAGACTTGAAACAGTGCTGAAAACAGTCCATGGGATTCAGTTCCCTTCCCCAGGAGAAGTCTGTAAGCAGAAGTCAGTAACCTGTCCTGGTGGCCAAGCTTATGAACATGTTTTTCTCATGAAAATGAGTCAGTTGCAGAATCTGACTACCGGAAGTAAGTTGTTATGCAAACTACAGTAGTTTGATCTTTCCATCTTTCCATGTTGGATTGTATTCCTCTTTTTATCTGGGGAAGACTAATTAACAAAGTAAATTTAAAGGTGAGAAGAAGGTAAGATGAGCAAGGACCTTAACTTACAGAGGTCTTCCAGCACGGAGATGTGTTTGGGCTCCATCGCCCTGGCCAGGTAACTGGGATGTAGGTTGCAACCCCTCCCCACCACTGGTTCCTCCCTGTCTCTCAAACTACCTGCCGCCCGGAGGAAGCAGGAACGCCTGTCAGAGGACAAGCTTATAACCGCAGAGGGCAATTAGGGGAGAATGATGTCACACGTGAAGAAGCTAAATATACACATCTATGTGCCTGTGTTACAGAGATGCCCACCGTATGCTTCTTTTTTCTCTAATGGCAGCACAGGCGGCAAAGCTGGGAGGAAGGCTCTCTGCAGATTCCAAAATGCTGGTGCGTAATGGGCCCTAGGAACAGAAAGCCAAGTGCCGGTGGAGACCGAGAGCTCCCCAACTCTGCCAACACGAGTCCTGTAGAAAAGGCAGTAAGTACGGAAGCGAAGGGGGTGCGACTCACAGACCCCATTTGATGGCTTTCCCCTAACGCCTCAGGGGACTCCACTGGTGGAGGAAAAAAGCCAGGGCGGGAAGGAAAGGCCCCTCTGCAGCAGCCCAGAAGTCGGCCTGTCGGGACTGAGGGTTCCCGCAGCGGGAATCTCCAGTTGACCCCTGGGTTGAAAGATGGGGTGTGGAGGTGACTGTGCGTTCACGACTCTCTCTTGCTCTCTCACGCCACCAACCTGGATGGCCATTGGAATTCCGAGATGAAATGGAAGTTTTCTCTTCAGAGTTCCTACACGTGGTTGAGCAATCATTCGGAATTCCTGGCTATTTATTGCATTAGGAAACAAAACCATTAAAGCATTTAAGACAGCCCTTTTGTGTCCCTGCCTAGGAGATGAAGTGGGTCTGCAATACTGGTTGCACCACACAACCTTGGGTTCTTGGCTGAACGGTCCAAGGCTGCACCGTCCGCACGGTGGAGGAAGTCCGCCCACGGAGCATGCACGTACGCGTGAGCTGGGACGCCGCGGGGGCGGCTACTCCATGCCGCTCCGAAGGATCTGGTTGGCCGCGATCAGCATGACACTTATGATGAAGGCCATGGCGAAGGCGCAGATGAGGCTCTTACGCACGCAGGTCTGTCTGTTCTGCTTCTGGGAATGCACTGCAGGTGGGGAGCAGAGGGCAAGGAGACATGGTGGGGGCGGGGTACAGGGGGAGAAGAGAGAAATGACACGGTGAGACGGGCTGGCCTCGTGCCCAACAAGCCCGAGTCCAGTCGAGGGCATGAAGACTGGCCACTCAAGCCCACAAGCATTTCTGAGAACCCCCCCTGGAAGGACACTGAACATCACGTCTCTGGCAAATGGTACGACACAGTGAAATCTCTGTAACAAGAACCATGGCCGTGTGATGTTCAGAGGAAGGCATAAACTCCCAGATACAACAGAGTGACGGTGACTTTCTGAGCATGAAAATTGGTAACATTTCAGAGTGAGTTTCACAAAAGGCATAATCCAGGCATTAATGCATCTGTTTCTGTGGAACTGCCTGGCTCCTTTGTAAGGCTATTTATTGCATTACTCACAGAGCAATATTCAGATGCTTCCCTATATTTTCTCACCAGGCTGGAAGCAACTTACCTTTTCCATAAAGGTTCTTGGGTGGCTGCTGGCTGAAATGACTCTAAGTGACTTTAGGCATTATTTCAGATATGCACAACACCAGTGGGTCTACAGTGGGGGCTCAGGAGCTCCTTAAAAATGAGGATTCTCAGGCCAGGTCCCACCACAGATCTACTGAATCAGAGACTTTCGGGGTGGGGCCAGTGATCTGTGTTTAACTAGGTGATCCTGGAGTGTGCTGAAGTCTGAGAAGTGGGGCCACATTGTTTGTGGACAGGACCAGTGTGAAGCAGGGAGGCACAAATCTCAGACTTCCTGGAGGCAGGGTAACTGTGGCCCCAGATCCTGCAGCCCCAGGGGTCTGACCTTGGGCCCTGGGCTTGCATTCTCTTATTCCTTTTGTTAGGCCACGTCCTACACCACCACTTTTATAAGGCCCATGAGAACCCATCAGAAGACATTAATTAGTGTTCCTAACATGGGCCAGAAACAGGGAAAGGACACAACAAGAAAGAAAAGCTTTGGTCAAGGGTGCCGAGCTCTTTCCCAGGCACTACTTCCCAACCCAGAGTTTCTTTCCCTTTTTTTTGTCCACACCTCCTCCCCTGCCTGGCAGTGATCTTGCCCACAGTTTACCACTTAGCTTATGGGAGAAATCTGTGCCCTGGAGGCAGGAAGGAAGCTACCTACACCAGAGCTACTCACTGGTAAGAATCAGATCAGTGGGGAGTTCGGTCTAAAAGTGAATTCTTGGGCCCCACTGCAGAATTACTGAATCAAAATCTCTCCGGGTAGAGGCCAGGAATTTGTGTTTTAATAAGATCTCCAGGTGATTGGAGAATTGCTGGGCCCCACCCTCAGGGATTTTGATTTAGTAGGTCTGGGTGGGGCAAAGAATCTGATGCACCTTGAGTTGCTAGGGACAAGGGGCACGCGTGTGTGTGTGTGTGTGTGTGTTAGGGACATCAGGGTGGTGTGTATTGGGGGAGATGTCTATTTAGATTCATATGTTATGAAACCCAATGCCAGGACAGAACATTTTCAGATTACCATCCACTCTGAAAAGTGGGTCCTTCTGTCTGACATTATACTATATCTTTGCAAACCACCATCAGACTAGATTAAGAGTGGAAAAAAAAAGAAATGCAATTTACTTTTAAATCACTCTCTCTCTACAGGAAAGAAGGCAAAAGAAAAAGGTCAAGGTAGGGTCCACATGCCCTCAAAGAACTTAAAAAAAAATGTTCATTTTCAAGAACCTCTCACCTGTGACATTCTGTGGCTGCTATAAATCCCAGGAAATAACAGGGAAGAAGTAGGAAGCTGGTGAAATCCTGAGGCAAACAAAATTCCCTTAGAGAAGGAGTCTCAGGGGCCTGTCAAGGGGCATTTAAAAGTTACATCAACCAGGAAGGTCTGTCCAGCAAGCCAGTCACTCTTTACAGAGACCTAGTGCGCCCCAGCACAGCTAGCTCTCAGCAGGCTCGCCAATGCTGCATGGTTATTCCTGCCACTATTTCATAGGTCTTCCTTGCTACCTTTAGTCTTTCTGGATCCACTGGACTCTTGCTTCACCTGGGTGATTAAAAGCATTTTTGGTTCAGTTCTTTACTTGCTGATGCGTCTGGTTTCAAGAACTTATAAGCACTTGCCTGGCGGAAGAAAATTTCCACGGTGTGGAGATGCGCCTCCCCCGAGAGCGGGCAAATGTAAATAGATGCCAGCTCTCAGGAAGGAAAAAGGAGGTGGCGTTTAAGAAGGAAAGGATGGAAGCAGAAAATAAAAGGCGGATGTGGAAGTAGTGTATCTAACACTTACTAAGGACTGGCTAATTTATGCTGGGCTCCTCCTCAGTATAAAAATACTTCTGAAGGCAATCATGTACCTTTCCACCCTGAGGGCTGGTGAAGGCTTAAGCAAAAGAGAAATTGGGTAACTGAACCTAGGGAGAAATTTTTTGCTGAAGCCCTTCTTTGTGAAGGACACTCAGAAGAAAACGTTAGAGGCAACAGGATTATCCCCCCAGGAAAGCAGAATCTTTGATCTAAAAATCCTTCAGAGCAGTAGGAAAAGGAAGCTAAGGAAGGAGGAAAGGCCTGGAGACTGAACAGTTGTACTTGAGGCCATGCAAATCTAAATCCAAACCCAAGTCCTGTAAGCCAGTGGGGCTTCCAGGACATTCCCAGGCAACTCTGAAACAGACCAGCTTTTGAGTCTGTAATTTAGGCTCTGAGCCTTGATGAGAATCTTTTACATCCAGCTCTCACATCACCATAATGTGTGTGGCAGAGTGAGAAAGGATTTGAAAGCCAGACCCAAACCTGAATCACCATGATCCCACATCTTAGCTGTGTGACCCTGTGCTAGGTAATTTCCAGGGCCTCAATTTCCTCTCCTATAAAATGAGGGTAATAAGACTTACCCTGCTCTGAAGATTAAGGACATATAAAGGTACTACAATATTGTTTGTGCCCAGTGAGTGCTAATTCCCTTTTATAAGACTTTAAAAAACTCTCCTGAAATCCCCTCAGTGGGCTGGGTTCATTATGGCTTTATATATGTCATGGCAGCATTGAGGAGTGGCAGTCCTTGGTGAGCTGGCTGTGTGATGCTCATTTGGTAGGAGAGGGGCCTGAAGCCCCAAGGAGTGGAATCTAAGGTCACTTGCCAAGTGGTGGATGGAGGTGGGGTTTGAGTCTGATTCTAATATTCAGGTTCAAAACTTCTGCACAAACTCTCTCTTCTTGATCTTTCACTTCACAATAGAAAGATCCAAAGACAATGTGCTTTGAACATGTTTTCTGGTTGACACAATATAACCTAGCACTAATCAGTGTGATTGTTGCTAATTAAGGCCTGCCTGTGGTTATTGTATACTTGGATTGCACTATATTTGTGTACATATATTCTCAGCTTCTATGCTCCCAGTGGGACTATTGGACTAGGAGAAAATATGGCTTCTTCTAACTGCCACTTAGGAACAGCCTTGGGCAAGTAATGGAACTTCCACCTCAGTTTCTCCTCCTGTAAAAGGAGCTAATGATAACTGATGTTAAACTCAAGAGTTATTTCAAAGATCAATGAACTAATAAAAAAAAGTGAAAGTTATATCCACCTGTGAATTGCTAGAGAAATGCAAAGTTTCCTTCTTGTATACCCTGAGGGCTGGAGCAAAGTCCTGCTTGTTTTTCTTCTGTACCCTGCACCTTCGAGCACAGGGTTGAACATCTCAAACATTTGCTTTAGTCTCTTTCCTAATTCATCCAGAACGGCAGCTGGCTTACCTTCCTAAAACATTGTGACTATTACCAAGAGCTCCCTGCAGAGGCCCTTGTGCTGCGAGAAGCACATTGCATCCAGTTCCTAAGCTCAGCAGGTAGGACCACAGGAAATCTCTTCTCCCCTTCCCACCGCTGCCCCAGACCACCACGCCTCCCCTCCCCTTCAGCCACACAGGTCTTCTTGCTGTTCTTTGACAAGACTCCACAGTGCTGTTCACACTGTTCTGTCTGCTAGAGGGGACTGCTGACCTTTCCTCTTATGTCTTCTGGTTCTAACCCAAGTTCACTTTCTCATGAGGCTTCTCCTGAATATTCTGCTCTCAAAGGGCCTGATCTTTTTATTTTTTAAATGGTTTAGCTCTTAATATTTATTTTTAATTGAGATAGAATTCACATACCATAAAATGCCCCCTTATGAATTGTACTGAATGTACAATTCAGTGGCATTTCGTATGTTCACAATGTTGTGCAACTATTACCACCAACTGATTCCAGAATATTTTCATCATCCTAAAAAGAATGCCCCACACACTGAAGTCATTCCTTGTTCCCCTCAACCTCTCTTCACCCCTGCAGCTCCTGGCAATCACTAATCTGCTCACTTTCTCCATGGATTCACCTATTCAGGGCATTGTGTGTAAATGGAATCATATACTGTGGGGCCTTTTGTGTCTGGTGTCTTTCACTCAGCATAATCTGGTGCAGGTTCATTTGTGCTATAGCATGTATCAGTACTTGGTTTCTTTTTGTAGCTGAATAATATTCCATTGAATGGATGTGCCACATTTTGTTTATCTGTTCACCAGGTGATGGACACTTGGGTTGTATCCATTTTTTGGCTATTATGAATAAGGCTGCTATGAACATTCTTGTACAAGGTTTTGTGAGGGCATGTTCTCAGTTCTCTTGGGTACAAATCTTGGAGTCAGATTGCTGGGTCATAGGGTAACTCTTCAAGGAAACTTCCTTTCTGGATCCTACTGAACACTGAAAATGGCAGGAATGCATCATGCTGCTAACAAGCTTTCCTGCATCTTTCTTCCCATTAGGTCTTAAGCTCTCTTTCTAATGTCATATTTGACAAGTGGAAGCCCAGACAGTGCATGGGAATGACATGTGAGTTGGAGGAGGTTGACTCAGAGGACGTCCAAGTGGTGTATCCTGTTTTACAGAAAGCTTGTTAGCAAGCTCCCAGCTCCCCGGTTCATACACTGTAGAGACAGTTGGAGCTGTCTGCTTCTCTCTCTAACTGAGATCAC